ACTGAGAAGGTCATTCTCAGGTCAAGTTCACGCAACCAGTCCCAGATCAGGGTAGATCAGGGTTTGGAAAGCCATAGATGTGGATAGTCCTGAATATTCACTAAGGTTGATTCTGAAGCTTTGACACCAACATGGCATGTGATCAGGGAAAAAGCAGAAAACTTCTCTAAGCCTCAGTGGAATCCTCAAGACAAACGGCTAGAAGGCTGTATGGCAGCTTGTGGTGTTGCTTTCAGCCCTTTAGGGACCGTGCTAGAATTGTATATTTATGGCCTTTGTCATGAGAATTTGAAGTTCTTCTCCATAGAGTAGGTAGAATTTACTTTGATATCTTATGGATTTGGGGTTTGGCCATGTTTTCTGATTACTATTGTGTAGCAAACTATACTCAGACTTACTAATGGAGAACAACAATGATTTGTTGTGCTCACAGTCTGTGGGTCAGGAGTTGGGCTAGGGCACAATGGGGTTCGCTTGTTTTTGCTTCAAAATGTCTAGAACTTCATCTAGAAAGACTGGAAGGCTGGAGCTGAGAGCATCTGAAGGTTAGCTCTTTCATATGTCCAAAGCCTACGCTAACCTGAAGATATGGCTAGCCAATCAGAGTGTTGCCATTGAACCATGGAGCTTCAGCTTCCTCATGATATGGCTGTATCTGAGTAGGCAGACCTCTCATGTGGCAGCTCAGGCTCCAACTGCAAGCAACCTAGTGACAAGATGGAAGACACACTTTTATGATATTGACTTCAAAATCAGTGTCACTATCACTGTCCTATGTTGTCAAGGAGTCAGAAGTACTCCAGAACTCTATGGGTCTGTTCCCTCAATGGGAGGGCTGTCAGAATCACACAGTGGGGAGACTGTGGGATGGGACATATTGCTGTGTCCCTCAGAATCTTTTTCCTGTGTTGCCTACAAAGTACCACAACTTGGGAGCTTATCGCAATGAATATTTGTATTGTTTCTCAGAGCAGGAATTTGAGTATGGCTTACCTCTCTTCTCTGCTCAGAATCTCACAAGGCCACAGTCAAGGTGTCAGGCAGATGTACTTCTTTCTGGGCCTCAGGACCCTCTTCCAAGTGCTTTGATTACTGGCAGTATTACGGTTTAGTTCTAAAATGTCCCCCAAAAGTCTCAAGTTCAAAGATAGTGCCTAATTGGAAGGGGTGGATCATTAGGAGTGTGATCTGAATGGGTATATTCTCATCTCCATGTCCTCCATTCTCTCTTTGCTTTTTGACCACTCTAAATTGTGGGTATCTAGTATTTTGTCCCAGTGATGGGAAGGGAAAGGGATTCATATAGGCAGCATTCAGATTCCTCACCTTAAGGAATGGTAAGGACTGATGATGAAAGCATGTGACAGTGTCCTGGATACTAAAAAAGAGTTACATAAATGTTACTGATTATTCTCCAACTGCATTGTAAGATCCCCAAGGTCAGGGCACTACATTATATTCATTTGGTACATTCCACAGGCCCAAAAGCTCGACTAAACACATAACTGGGTCTCAAGAAGTACTGGCTGGCTGGGTGCATACACTGAGATGGACCAATGAATGAGAGATGAAGGTTTGAATCCCAAGATGGTGATGGGGATCAAGGAATATGAGAGGGAGAACTGATATCTGGTGGCTCCATTTATCACAAATATAAAAGTTAGCTATTGGAGTGAAATATAGTATGGGGGACTTGACCAAGGAGAGAATGGTTAAACTGCAGGGCAAAAGCACACAGGCTCTGTGAGGAGTGAATGGTTAAACAATAAGAAGTCTACATTATTGAGACATGTTGTATCTGGCCATTGTCCTTTTTCCCCCAAGAAAAACTTCTAGCCTTGAGACAGCTCCTTACCCAAAATGTTTTTCTTCTACTTTTTTCACTTCCACTGATATTCTAAATAAAAGCCAGAGTGTTCCCAGCTTCAGGGCTTCTCCTGGGAGTCTCCCTGATGCTGGGCACTTTCAGTTGAAGGAGCCCCTTTGGGCCTCTCCGTGATTGAACTAAGTCTCATCTCTGAGTAATCATTCATCTTTTATGCTGCCATGGTCACACAGTGTGACAATATGAGAAGTATGCTTACACTCAAAGACAGTTGGAATGCCTTTGGGGAAAGGTACAATGGTGACACTAGGGGCTTTGGAATTAGCTTTGAGTTTGAATGCTGGTTCAGTCCTTTGGTAGTTGAGCAATTCTGGGTGAGTTATTGAACTTCTGAATCTTGAGGTTCCCTGCTGATAGATTCAAAGCTGCACAAGAGTAGAGGTTATATGTGAAAGTGTTGATGGGGCCCCTGTAGATGTCCGTTAGGGTCAGCTGGGCTTGTGAGGTACTTTGTGACTTTAGGCAAGCTCCATAACTTCTCTGGTTCTACATTTCTTTGCACGTAAAATGAGAATAATATTTTATGTGCTTCATTAAGAATAAATAGTATAATGAGTCTAGAGTTTTTAGAATAGCATATGATCCATGGTAAATGCTCACTGAATATTATCTCTTGTTAGTTTACTCCATCATCTGCTTTTCTTTGTCATTTTCTTCTTCTTTCTCCCTTTTCTTATCACTGAGCATAATGATACACTTCCTGTTAGCCATCCCATTTATTTACTGCCTGAATTAAGCAGCCCCTGGGGTGGCTCAGAAATGCTTTACTCTGTTTATTAGGATTTATTCAATTAGGTTTAGGATAACTAGACCTTACTGAGTACCATTCCCCTATGTTCTTTCCTTTCATATCTTTTGGAACATTCTAGAATGACACACCCTCTACTCAGTCACTCAAGCCAGAAACCAAGGAGCTGAAGTTGATGTCTTATTTTTGTTCACTCCTGCTTTCCAAACAATCACTAAGTCCTGTCAGTCTAGAGTCTATCTGGCGTCTGTCCACAGCTCTCTACCTCCATGACCCCATTTGTTCCCACTGCCCTTGTCTCTTGACAAAATGTAACCATGGTCCCTTACTGTTCTCACTGCTAACCCTACATTCTCTGTCCACACAACAGCCAAATCAGAGGTGCGATTTCCAGTGTAAAGTTTTCCAATGGCTTCCTGCTTCACCATACATAAAATCTGAAACTTTCCCCCTCATTTCCTATCATCCTCCTCTGAGCAGCTGAGCGTCTTCCTGCCTCAGACCCTTTGTACTTGCTACTTCCTCTGCTTAAAATATCTTCCCCATCATTACAATTTCCCAGAAGATTTCCTCATTCTTGATTCTTCAGCTTAACATCACGGCTGGAAAGAGGCCTCGCCACGTCACTGTCTCCATCTAAATTATTTTGTATCTTTAACACCCTCTTCTATTCCTTCTAATCACTTACCACAATATGTAGTAACATATTTTATTGAACTTCTAGATCCCCATTAGTGTTTTGACTCCCAGCAGGCAGAAAAATATCCTTAGTCTGACATATTGTGAGTTCTCAGTAAATATTTCCTGAATGAATTAGTTTCTATGATTTCCTGAGCCCTTTATGAGCAACCATGTCTAATCCTCCTAGCAATTTCTATTGAAGATTAGACTCAAAGAGGCACACACATTTGACCAAGGTCATTCAGCAGGTGGCAGAGGCAAGAAGGAGGCCCAGAGCCTTCTGCCACCTATGCCCTTGAGGTGCTCAGCAGCTTCACTGTGGACTGCTGCCTGGGTGTGAGGCATCCTTCCTTACAGTTAAGGTAGCAGACAGAGTGAGAGGCCTGAGTCATGATGGGGCATGAGAATGAAGCTGGGGGGTTCACTCTGGCTTTCTGCTTACCTGAAGCAACTAAAGCTACACATCCAAAGTAATGGGCACTGTGATGTCCCAGTAGGCTCACTACTCACTGTCCTTAGATAGCTGTCAGCTCTTAATCCCCTCAGGGTAAGTCTCAGCTGCTAAGAGCTCTATGCCAAGTTCACATCCCTTTCAGGCTCTTCTTAGTCCAGTGACTGAACACTGAGGAGAGACATGAAGGTCTGGCTGTCCTGTCTCAACTCATTGCAACTCTGGTGGACCATTCAAGCTCCAGAACTCTCCATGGGGTCAGCTGAAGTTATCCCCAGACATATCACAAATGGGCTTCTTGCCACCACCCTTTTCAAACAGTCACATTCAGTATTTCAGAGCTTCCTATTTAGCTTTTGCACATAGTTCTTGTGCACTGTTACCACAGGGAGTGACCCCCTTTATTTTCTTCTGAAGCAGGATAACCTGTAGGTTCTTGTGGAATACTATTTCCAACACAGGCATCCTTCAGCTTGGGCACATTGGGGAACTTGTTGGAGCACGGCTAGCCTGCTCTCTACCCACACAGAGTATCCAGTTAAATGAGTGCAGGGGTAGGAGATATGCATTACGGAGTGATACACATTCAGTAGAAACCATACTTTGAATTTTCACCTCTTCCTGGGATGCTGCTGTGTGATGTGATATCTCTGGCAATGCCGGGCAGCAGCAGTGAGCCACAGCTCCCAGTGAGCCCCACGATCATGCGGGAAAACAATGTCCTACAGTGTACTATGATGCCAAAATGAGATATGCAGTAGGTTAGGTACAGTAAATGCATTTTATGACATCCTCAACTTACAATGATGAGTTTGTTGGGGTGTAACTCCATTGTAAGTCGAGGGACTTTTGTATATGATACACAGACTGAGACTGTCATTGTCCTCTCAGTTCTAGTCTCTGTGGCCCTCTGCAAGATGCCTCACAAAGTTCTCTTCTACCTAGGAACTTTCACTTAATTATATTTAAATTATCAAAATATGTCTGACTTAAGCGGCCTCTTGGGTAAAGGAAAAGGCTGGTAGACTAAAGTTGCTCTTTGCCTCAGGTTATCCCAAATTTTTTGCCCAGCTAGAGTCTGATTTCTGATTCTGGGTTGTTTTAAACACTCCCTCCCATCCCTGCCATCCTCCTGAGCCCCATTTGCCCAGGAAAGCATCTCCTCAGGCATGTGTGCCACAGATATCCTGGGCAAAGCTACTAACTCTTGTAATCTACTCTCTGTGTCCCTTAAGCTGGAAGACTCTAGAAAAGCCACAAGAAAACAGCCAAGAGGTGGGGTGAAGCTCTGAGAACTAACTGAAGAACGACTCCTCTGCGGGGTGTTAATACCCTGCAAAGAAGCGAATCTACTGGCATTTTTTTAAAAAAAGAGTTTAATAAAAATATATATGCACCATGAGAAAATCACAGCAATAATTCCTTGCACCTTTGTTCCATGAAGCCCAAAGCACTCCCCATATATTATCATATTCATTATCCTATTTTCTTCACGTTTCTCATTAATTTTTTTCCGAGGTGATATATTAATATGAAATTCTAAATCACATTAAGGATACCACGAGCCCAACTCATTCTCCTCAGCCTAACTCCACCTTTTTCTTCTCCCCTTTCCATCCATCATCCTCACCCCCTTTCCCCACCCAGGGGAGGGCAGAGCCTCAGCTGATCTGATAAGCAGCAGATGGGGAGCTGGCTAGAAGAATGGAGGAGAATAGGCTAACAGCGCTGCTTTGCCAGTGGGCTGCTTTCCCAGGCTAGTTGCCTAAACTTAAGTCCCTTCTCCAGTCCACTCAGAGAGACCAGGGCTGCTGGCAGGTCAAGGAAAGGAAGCTGACCTCCCCTCAACACCCCCATAATGGGTGTAAAACCTACTCCCCCTCCCTCCTGCAAGAGGGAAAGAATCAGGCTCATTACAGATATTATCATGCAGCACTTCATATTTCAAAGAGCTTTATAATTGCTAATTAGTTATTGCCGGAGAATATGGAAATGGAGCTTTGCTGGAGTCTCACAGACCGGAAGGAAGCCAGAGTTCTGCAAAGAGGTCAGCACACCTGGCTGCCCAGACTGGCCTGCCACACAGGAAATGTGTCCTACTGAAGATTAGAGGAGTGGGGCTTATTATAGTCATGCCCAGTGCAATCCTGTGGGCTCTGGCAGAATCAAAACAGCATTCTCAATCAAAAGAAACGAAATTGAAGAAAACACTTTCCCTTTCCCATTGTGATGAGTTTAATTCCCGGCATCATGGCTGGACATTACTGCTAGGAGCCACACCTAGGAGATCCCTGTGCACATAGCACACAGCAAAGGGAAGTCTCTTCCAGGAGCTTCCTAAAGATTTCCCTAGAACATAGATGTCCAGATAAGGGTGTAAAGCCCCTAGAGATTAAGCAGGGGGCAAGAAGTACCCTGATTCCCTCGTGTATTGTCTCAATCTTGTTTAATTTTATTTAAATCCTCTCAAAAGCTGGAATCAGAAGGGGCCCAGGGAGGTGCTCTGCTCTGTCCAGGATGAGCAGGCAGGATATAGGGAGTGCTGTCCTTGGGGACTCCGTCCATCACTCTCTGTGTAAATGGAGACTGAAGAGGTGTTCCCTAAAAAGAAAACCATAAGCAGTGGCCTTAAAACTATTCTTCTCATGCAGCCTGTCTACACAGGCCAGAACCTGGGGATCAAGCTCCAGAAAGCACTTCTAGCTTACAGAGAAACTCCAGGGAGTGAGCAGAAACCTCAAACACAGATGCACCTGACTTTATTCTCTCTTGGCCAAGGGACGTGTGGAGGCTACTCGGTTGTCTTATCGCATCTCAGCTAGTAACTGATGCGCACAGATGAGGAGCTAGAGGTACATTCCTCACTCTATATCTTCAGGAAGCATGTGTCTACCAAACCCAAACCTTTGCATCGGACATGGACGCTTTGCCTGTTGCTGGTGGGTTACCTTTTGAATACTGTCTGGTCTTAGTACATAGCTACACTGGGAATGAGACTGATGTGCCTTGCACCTAATTTCTTAGCACTCCAGCAGGAGAAGGAGGCTGAGCCATGCATTGCAGATGGTAGTCTTATAAAGAGAATGCACCTGTGGACTAGGCCCGTGAGGGATCCAATACCTGGTGTAAGCAGACCCAAAGGAACAGGAGTGGCAGCAGGGGGCTGGGGCACACAGAGAGGATTACCAAGCCCTTTGGGAACTATCACTTATATAACAGGAGCTTAGAAGTCGGGCCTTCAAAGGCCCAAAGGATAACTTAAAGCAGAATAAAGTTTGGTGTCTCTGATCAGCACTTTAAAACTCTGGGTCAGATCCCTGCTCAGCTATGCATATAAGCATTAATCTCTACCTAAACGTAGAGACACAGTACTAATACTAATACATTAGTAATACTAATACTAATATGCCTAAATTTACTAAGCTTATCCCCCTTCAAGACTGAGACAAGATTTTCAGGGACATCTGGCTACCAGTTTTTATTATGTCCTATTTCAGACCTCTTCAGTAATTGCTTACAAGACTTCTAGTCATTGTACTCATTCCAGGAGAAGCAGAGACTTACAGATCACCACCTAATGAGGCCACTTCTCCTGCCCCCAAACAGGAGATGACATCTCATGGAAACAGACTACCCTTCAAGCCATATGGATTTCTCCATATGGAACTAACCTGCAGAACCAGTTCTGAGATATTCACCAACAAGACCAAAAACTTAACCAGGGTTACTTATACTGCAAGTTATGCAAACCTATGTAGAGGAGAGAAAACATGCACATTTTTTCCTGCTCCCATAAGAGTAGGCTCCTAATTGTTCAAGATGTGGCCAGAATTAATAGGCAAGACCAGAAACATAGGTGCATGCTCCACTGTAGGCAAAGGAAGGAAAACAAAGTCCACCTTTGTGGCTACCTACCTTGGAGATATGGACCTGCCTCCATGGCTGCTGTCCATGCAAAGTGGTCTCATTTTTCTTCTCATCCATTCTTTGAGCCACTTGGAGTATCCTGATGAGCAGAACGCTAAGTGCAGAGAGATCACTGTCAGTGTGGTGACTCAGGGCTCAGATTCTGAAGAGAGATCGCCTACACTTGAATACTGGCCCTGTGACTTGCCAGTTGTACAACTTAATTACAAGGTGCTTGGTTTGCTCATCTGTAACTTGGCCCAATGCCAGCCCCATGGTAAATGCTACTGTAATAACATTGAAGAAACTGACTACATTTCTACTCTTTGTCCAGTCCATTGCATGGAGAAAAATTCTCAGGAAATATGGGTCATCTGTGATCTGGTAGTGAACAGCAGCTTCCTAGAAGGGCAGCCCAGGGGCCTTGGGACAGCCTCAGAATAAGTCCCAGGGATCCCACAGGCATAAATGTCTATTCCTTGCAAAGCTGTTGCTCTTTTCTTGTTTCCCCAGGTGGTTGTGTTTCTCACTTGAGGCCCATCTCCTTCCTTCTGTCTGTTCCACCTCCTTGCACCCAGCAGTAGCAGTTCTTCCTTGAACCTCTGTTTCCACAAACTTCACACAGAGCATTGTCAAAAGCATAGAACTGGAGCCAACTGGCCTGGCTGCTTTTCTGACTCCATCTATTACTAGCTGCTGACCCTCCAGCCAGTCATGAAACTTGCCTGAGACTCAGTTTTCTCATCTGATGATTGGAAATAAATCAGCTGTCTCTCTTTCTCCTTAGGGTGTTTTGTGAAAACCAGAAATGCTTGTGACAGAACTCTGAAAGCTGGAAAGCACGCATTGAATCTTTATTCTCTTTAGGACCCCATTCGGCTGGGCTACTGTTCAAAGTGAGACATCTAACCCTTTTGCTTCTTCCAGCAAAAGTCTGTTCTTTTTCCATGCATGGATCAGTTATTACTGTGTAACAAGCACTCCCAAGCATAGTAGCGTATGTGCTTCTACTGATCTGAGCTGGACTAGACTAGCTTGCTCTTCCTGGGCCCATGAGCAACTGCAGAGCAGAGAGGAAGCGTTGGTGATTGGGGCTAAGCCCTCAGATATATGACAGCTTCAACCAGAATACCTGTCTTCTCTAGTAGCTACCTTTGTTTTGCTCTCATGGCGAAGGCACACGAGCAAGGTTGAGGAAGCCTGATTACACAAGGAAGGCAGGCAGAAATGCCTATGTGCTTCTTACAGCTTTGATGGTATCTTATGAATGTTTTCTATGAGCGTGTACAAGCCCTGAAATTTTCTGCAGGGAAGAAATGTGCACTTCTATCATTGCTTCTGGATTTGCCCCGGAGGCCCAATATCTTCATAAATGCTCAATCACACTCAGATCTGAGCATATTCCTCCCATCTGAACAGTTCTTTCTTTAAATGCAGGGCTTTTATGCAGTGCATGATCTGAACCGCCTTATGTGACAGTCTGGAGAGACTTCGTGTCAGAAAGAACACTGATTCCCTGAGTTTCATTTTCTCATCTGTAAAATGGGCTAGTGGCTTCTTTGACTTCTACAGTGGCTATACATACAATAAAATGGGTGAATTCATGGGAAAGCAATTCTTAAAATCGTGGCAGTTTTAGATATATAAGCTCTTATCAGAGATTAATAGTGGACTCTGAGTGGACAAGATTCAACCAGGAAACCAGAGAATAAAATTCCAAAGAGGGGAGTAGGTTCCCAAAGGGGAGAAGAAATCAGGAAGGAGAGTTGGCACTCAGTAATTAACAGAATCCAGAAGCGCTGAGGGGCAGATGGGAAGGGCACTGGGCTAGGAGTTTGGGGACCAGGCAGATGGGATAGAGGGGGTGTGGGCAGCCGAACGCTGGGCCTGGGAGGGCGGAATTTAGAAGACCCCAGTAAGTCAAGATCCCAGGGCGGCGAGAATGAGCGCCCAGCATGGAGGTTTGCTCTTCTCTTCCGGCAGGTGCGCGGACTTGCAGAGCCTTCCCACTCTAGCCATTCTGCGAGTCGCCAGCCTTGGCGACAGGCTGTTCCTATGGATCCAGACACCCTTCCCCGCCAGAACCCCTCCCCTCTTTCACCCACTCCCCCTCTTCGTCCTGCCCCTAGCGAGCGAGACTGCACTCGGAGGCGGATCACAGTACCGCCTTCGCTTTCCTCTCCCGCCAGAGCCCCGCAAGCCCTACGGCCCCAGTGCACCAAACACAGTGGTCACTGGAGGACTCCCGGCCCCAGGCCCTCAGCGGGTGGGGACGGGCTCAGGACGTGCTGTTCGGAAACCCCGGCGCCAGGGAGACAGGCAGCCTTCTCCATAGGTTCGGAGGGTTCGGCAGCTACAACACGCCCCTCTCTCACCTTCCCCAGGTTGCTGTCTGAGAGCGCAGCTGGGGAGAGGGTGACAGTCCTCTGTGAGTCAAGGGTGGAGGGTGCGGAGACAAGTGGGTTGGCAAAGGGGCTGGAAGAGGAAGATAAGCAGAGAAGGGGGAAGGAAGGCACTGGAGACGGAAATGGAGGAGGGATGTTT